TCACCGACCACTCTGGTGCCGCCCTGAAGGGGAGGGGGTTGAAAGATTTCGCTGGGCTAGATGAAATTTTACCCGAGATTTGACCCTATGACCTTTTTTCAATTTCAGATTTTCAAAAGTAGCAGAAGTGGTAGGCGCGCCACATGCATCTGTACCGCTTCTGCTTCTCAAAATGTTTTAGGTCCTGATAAATATTCGACAGATTGCCGGTGTAAGCGCTCTTGGTACGGTAACAATCGATTGCCGGTTGCTGATAAGACCACTTTCACTAATATCGAGAATACGAAGTTTCGCGAACCATAGTTTCCCGAGCATCGTCCAAGTCCCACTTTCTTGCAAGACCTCTTGATGTCTGTTAGAGCGTTAACCTTGTCTGGACGCTGATGCGCGCAGCTTAACGTCATTGCATGTCAGCGACAATTGTGGTCATTACCGTCAATGCATGATTGCACTTGTTCTAGCACTTCGTTATGCGCCGCGTGTAGCGCGCCGCGGACATTCTCGCCATCGCACGAATTCCCCCGGAAACGAACTTTATTCAATTGCCTCCTCTTCGGAACTGATTGAATGTCATCGCAACGGTTAGTTAGATGAGGTTGGCACGAGCGCGTGAATTTCGACCCTTTTCTTAGAGCAATTGGAAAGGGTCAACAGCCTTGATCGCCAGGAAAAAGGCTAAGCAAGATTTCCACAGGCTTAAATGCCATTGGAGAAGCAAACATGCAGAACAGCGCTATTGCGAGGATATCTGCCAATTACCTGGGTTTAGATTCCCCAGTGAACAATTCCCGCAAAGCTAGTACCTTTTAAAGTCCCATATCCCTACAGGTGCTTTAAAACGGTACCATTTAGCTTACTCATGAAGTACAGCGTGAAGATTAGGCAAAGGAAACTTTTTTAAGCCTTCAAGGTCATTTAATGACATTGTGGGTTCACCAGCCCGCCGCTGAAAATCCGCAATTAGCCACCTACCGCTCAGATTAGAATAAGACCCCCATTTCACATTGCTGGTTAGGTTAGAGCCGTTAGAACATAGGCAGGATATTAGACTAAATGTTAGGAACGACTCCAGCAGATGCCTTAGGGCTCTGGCAATGCAGTCACAGGGCAACGTAGGTTAGTGTCTGACAAGTTGGGTTAGCCCTCCAAGGGAACCTCCTGGTCTACTGAGACCTTGTAGGAATAGCGCTAACTAAAGATATCCGGTTGTCCTGAAATGCTCGGCCTCCTGAAGGATCCCGAGCGTTTTGCAATGTCCTCCTCTCACCCAATCCACCCGAACCCCATAATCCTTATAAGGCTCCTTTGAGCTCTCTCCAATACCCTTGATATGCCATGTGCATGACAAGGAAACCGGCTTCGGCCCCGTAAAGAAACCCGCCACTGTTTGCTGAAGGGCTCGTGTGGTAATACAGTAATCCCGGCGCTATGGTTACCAGCTGGTGCTCACAGACTGTCTGAAGAACTGAGCCCGACATTGCTCTCCGGCGAGGGAATATAGCAGGCAGCGAGCGACAGCACTAAGAGTGCGCCATCGTTTAGCGCATAATAGACCAATTAAACTATCAATATCGCCTACGGTACCCAGGTAATCGAGCTGCCGACGTCGTTGCGGCCGCTTTAGGTGTGCTTGATTGCAATAACAAGCGCGGAGAGCCATATGCGAATTGAGCAGCGAACGCAGGTGGTGGGCCCCTTCTTAGAATGGCAGAGTCGACTGGGGAGGATTGGGCGATGGACGATACTCCGGGAACTCTTACTTTCTTTGGTATGAGCAAAATGAGCACATCTGTGGACTGAAGGGCTCGAAAAAACCTTGTAAGATCCCAAAAGTGCTCAAAGCATGGGTCCGCTGGCTCCTAAAACGAGGGATGTGGGGTTTCTTTTAAGTTGAGAAGGGCTGGAGGGTTCCGGAAGATACTGTAAACGACATCTGCTCATCACGAGCCCAACACTTTGAGGTTATAGTGACTTTGTTAGTTCTTTGTGATCCTTCTGAGTGAGGGAAAGATGGTGTGGGAGCTACAATAAATC